TTGAGGAAGTGCGCTGTACTTAACGGGTTCACTGTCCACAAAGTTGCTCCTACACCAAAAATATCACCGTGAGACACATTAGAGTATATCTTTCGAAGTGATGCCTATCGTCGCTATACTGATTTTCAGTACTTTTTGTCTGCCACTTCAGTTAGGAACTTTTTTTGAATACATCGGTTTCGGTCTATGTCATTTGAATTTCTGCACTTCAGTTTGAGGGATAAGTTTTGATGAAGTTGTCTCAGCTGTGGAAACTTGAACTGAAATCGATGGCTTTCTGTGTTCATGAAGACATTCGGTCATTTGCGTATGAACGTACGATATTTGAAGCGCACTTAAGCTTGAAAGACTGAAAGACAGAGTAAAAATTGTGCAACCGTTGTTAGGGCCTTGGCGAAACTCAATTCCGGTAGCATATGTCCCGTTTATGTCAATTTCGGTATTGTCAGGCTGGGTGCCCGACTACGATCTGCAGGATTTACAGCCGTGACCAGACAAAACTGGTCCACTGGTTTGTCATTTGTGCACTAATTACAAATGGATGAAAGTATACGCTGGCATCAAAGCTATTGAGTCACCCCCATTTCTTACCACAAAGAAATCTAAAAATGTAATGTACTACTCATAAGGTTGCTGAAAATCCATCGACAGCCCACGACCGGTTTCGCCCTTCTTGGGGCTCATCAGGTAGGCGCAGTCCCCGGGTTTCCGTCAACCTTATGTTCTACTTGAAACCAAATTGTACGAAATTAGCGAATATACACTCATCTGCAAACTAATTTGGTTCTTTCGAGAGACTCACCTGGAACCCAGCTGAATCTCTCGTTTATGATGTTCTCAGGCAACTGAATGTTTCTCGATAACAGTAGTAAAAGAAATCCATATGGCGGGATGTTAATAGCTATTCTACTCTCTTCATTGGCGACATGCTGTGCAAGAAAGTGCTAGCAACAAATTGCACTGCAGCGCGACAAAGTGCCGTCCAGTCAGTTCGGCACTGATTAGCATCTTAGGAATGATTTAAGACCAATTGCACACATTTTACCAGCCCAGTTGTGTGGGCGGTATACTTGTTACCAATACAATCGAACATTTAAAAAATATTGCAACTCCCTTCATCATCATCATCATCATCATCAATGACAGCAACATCAGTGTTGGCACTGGTGCTTCACTGCCGCACAACCATAAAGTTCGTTTAGTTATATATA